GGGCCTGACCTCGGCATGCTCCGAGCTCGGCCCCGGGGCGCAGAGGCTGAGGGCCCGGGAGCGGGGCGCCCGGCCTCCCCAGGGGGCGAGCCAAGGACACGGCCCGGCCCCAGATCCCCTCCGTCGTGAGGAGACGCGTCGGCGGTCACGGTGGTGCTAAGGGTGTTTGTAAAGCACATCCACATTTTCATAAGGAAAATGAGACAGAAACGTTTGAATGATCGTCCTGGGCTGCTCGGCCCGGAAAGGGGAGCGCTGAGACCCGAGCCCACGGAGTCTCGCGGGAGACGGAGGGTCGTGCCCCTGGCGCTGCGGGCCCACGCGGTGCCTGACCCGGGGCGACCTCTGACAGCTCGCGTAGCTCTTCATACGCCTTACAAAGCCTTCTAACCGTCACAGCCGGGTTTGTGGTAGGCACTGCGGAGTCGGGGTTACTTGAAGGTGACCTGTGCCCCTGCAGGTGGCTTTAAAGACGGGATTCCACCGCCGTCCCTCCCTGGAGGAGACGGTCTCAGGACCGGAGCGGACTCTGCTTCATACCCCGGGCTAATAAGCCTTGTTTTCAGACAGCATTTGGATTCTGGGAAGGCACCTCCCTTGCAAATCATGACTGGAATCCTGCCACTTTGCATTAAAATCCTACTCAAGGGTGGTAATATAAATGCTAAAAGTCTTTAAGTTTTTTGAAACATGCATTTCATGGAAATTCGTGTTTTCTCTTTATTCTGGAGTGCCAGACTCAGCCTGTCCTAGCAAACGGGCACATCAGTGCGAAGGCAGTTTCCCAAGCAACTGGAGATGGTTCTGCACAGGGAGGTTCACTCCCGGTAAAGAACAGCTCACCCTCATATAATCCGTGTGATGATGCAAAGAAACAGAAGAAAGTAACCATGCCAGAGTCATATTCGAAATGACTTACTGGCTCAAATGCAGAAATTCCTCAAGTGATTTCAGTTTGACCTGCTTCCCTTTGTTTTAAAGGTGCGGTGCTTCAGTACGTCTGTGGCCAGGCCGTTTGCCAAGCTGGTTCGGGTAGGTCAGCTTGTTCGTTGTCATTATAAAGCAGAGATGAGCAGCAACACCGTCAGGGTTTGGACTTTTGTATAGTTCCTGCCTAAACCTTTCTGCACAATTGTGGCTCCCAAAACGTGCTGTGTGCATGGTGCTAGAGAACAAATAATGTTGCATGCCTGCTGTGTGACACGCCCATACATAACCTCTAAATGGGAGAATTTCTTAAAACCTCATAACAGTGATGGGAAGACTTCACAGGTTACTCAGCTTGGTCCTAGAGCTGCACTGGAACTAAACCTCATTCAGAGCTTGAGCTTCTCCTATATGGCCAAGCGGCACCACCTGGAGTATGTGGCCATACACCGAGGGCCGTGTGCAGAGAAAGTCTAGTTTATTGTGAAAACCACAAGTCAAGCTTGAGGCTCATGGTAAACTGCTAAAGGCTCCACCGAAGTGAGCTTTGCTGGGGAGGCTGTGAGAGAGACATTCACAGGCTTACTGAGACACGTGTGAAGTGTGCTGGTATATGTTTCATAAACACCTGTTTTTATGACTCTAACATGTTCAAAACTTCTGTCAGTGTTAAAAACCTCCCATACTTGAAACCAAATAGTACTGCATTCAAAGGAAGCAAAGCTCATCCCAAAATTAACGGAATTGATTCTAGATAGTTAAGCTGAAAGGGACCTTAGACACCGTGTCCCCAAAGGCCCTCGTTATAAGACGAGGAAGTGGAAGCTTAAAGATTGATAGACATGGCCAAGGAAATATTTCTAATTTGTTTGAGAATTGCCATTCAGGATAGCTCTCTGACAACATAGTTGAACTGTTCTGTGCTTTGTACAAGATGTGTTTTTAAAATCATAACTATTTAATTCTGCTGTTGACATTGTACTATGATCCTAACTGATTTCCCTTTTCCTTCCTCCCCTGACCCACCCTTTTCTAAAGCCTCCTGTTCAGGTATATGGTGTGGAAGGTCGCTATGCCACTGCTCTTTATTCTGCTGCATCCAAACAGAATAAATTGGAACAAGTGGAAAAGGAGCTTTTGAGAGTAGCGGTAAGTAGCTTTCCTGCTCATTGCTTATTAAATCTGCATTGTTTCCTTTAGTTGTCTGATTGTGCATCCCTAATGAGGTGTGTCTCAGAGAAGAACTGCAAAGAGAGAGAGAAAAACCTATTTGCTGGATTCATGTTGCTAGTGATAGTACTGGGTATTATTCTCAATCTGTTGTGTAATAGGTACAAACATGTACATATAAGGATATTAATATTAGAAACCAAGACTTAGGCTAAGAGAAGAAATAGAAATATGAGCTGATAATATAAGAAAAATTGAGAATTAAAAGACACCTTTGAAAATCCATGCTTGTATTCCAGGTATTTCCAAAGTAGTCTTTAATATATGATTTTGTTTTCCTGGGAATTTATTTTCCTTATGAAGCCTTTCCTTGGTTTTAACTATTATTTTATTCCCAAGATGTGAGGGGCCATGACTGAGCAGAGCATGCTGGGCAGCAAAATATGTACAGGTGTGTGAGTTCCACACTGATAGCAGACTGACAAAGACAGACCGGGAGGCTGCAGGGAAAGAGTTTTCCTTTTATTTTTCAACATGAAAAGAAGAAATTAACCAAGTTAACAAAAGCCCACGTGTAACTTAAGTAGGAGACTCTGCTGTAATTTTCACACGTTTCCTTGCGTCCCCTCCTTTGACTTCTGGCTTTACCTCTGGCAGTAAGTTCTGCATTAGAGGAGGAGAGGGAAACACAGTCTAGTACGTACTCTCCGGAGAAAGTTGTGCTCTTTTTTTATTGTTTTAAGAATTTCTTATAATTTTTAATCCATAGATTTCTAAAGATTTTTTTTTTTTTTTTAGTTTTACCATTTGGTGGGATAAAAACCTCACAGGCTAGTTATATAAATATTTACAGCCTGTGTTGATGGGATCAACCCTTACAGTCCTCATAGAGCCACGGCTTGACTGTTGGAGACACATGGGGGGCTCATAGCAAGAGCAGACTAGATGTCACACAGGCCTTTTTGGAGGTGATGAGGGTCACCCACTACTTGTCATGGATTCCCATTTTAAACCTCAACAGTGGTGTTCACAATGGAGAGAATGACCTGGGTTGTAGACATTAGGATGGGGTTTGACTAAAGCTGGAAGTCAGTGAAGACATGGAGAGGTAGAAAGGAGGCCATTACCTCCAGACTCTATAAGTGAAAATGAGAGGATGCTACAAGGTGTCACTGTCCATTGGACAACCCAGATTCCAGAGTGCTTTTAACATGAATGGGCCAGCAATTTTCTTGGGAAAATGTTGCTTGGAGCCATTCACATTGCAGTTTCTCATTAGATGGCAGTGGATCAGGGACAGGACTCAGGCAGGCACCAGGGACAAGGTGCTCATATAGGAACTGAAAGGTAGATGGAGGAGTGTAACAGAAATAGAAGCAGCCGTGAGCCCCAGAATCCAGACATTTGTGATTGACAAAGTGGAGACAGTGGTCTCATGGTACCTGCACTCCTGTTTCTTGTCCACTCTCCCTCCAAGGCTGATAGAGTTCTCCTAGGCTGGGCTGTTTCTCCTGAGCTCTAAGAGGTAGCACAGGATTGGGGCCAGCCTGAGGCAGAGAGACCCCTCCAGGGGAATGGCACCTTTTTAGGTCTGCACTTGAGTGTTGGCATTGCTAATATCCTCTTAGTATGTGAAAAACTCAAGCAATACCTATATTAAATACATTAAAATGTGCAATGAATTGGATCTTTGGTCTGCTTACTTTTTTTAATAGTTTCTCTTAAAAAGCAAAAATTAATTTTAAGATATTTCATCAAGTGTCTAAGTTTTTCAAGAAAAAGTGTAAAAATCATACTGTGGTATATTATTAAAGGCAGAGAAAATGATTTGATCCTAAAATGTTCTTTGTGCTTTGAAAGTGCTTATTGAATTCATGAAATACATGATTCATAAGAAGTATATGTATGGTGGCTAGGATCATTTATGCTCTAAGGAGTTTAAGAAATTACTTTTTTGCACTTTTAGCAAATCTTGAAGGAACCCAAAATGGCTGCTTCGATTTTGAATCCCTTTGCAAAGCGCTCTGTTAAAGTGAAAAGCCTGAATGACATGACCACAAGAGAGAAGTTCTCTCCCCTCACGTCCAACCTGATCAGTAAGTATTAGATCTTTCTCCCCAAGTCTCTGCATATTTGCTACTGGGAACACAGTCTGTAGGCCAGGAGCATGAGTATCACCTGCCCTAGGCATTGAGACTCTCAGGCCTCACTCCAGCCTGCACCTTCACTGTCTCCCCAGGTGAATTATCTGTGCATTAAAGTTTGAGGAACACTTTCTAAAGATACTGAGATGTAAGAATATCTAATCTCATAGTATTTCAACCTGTGGGGCCACCAGTGGGATTCACATCAACAGAATGGTTTGTAGCCTGGCTGTCCCTCTGTCCTTGAAGACACTTGCCTTCTTTGGTTCATCAGATTGTTTTTCAAATCCCACGGTCGACTCAGAATACAAGCTCCAAAGAAAGTGTATCCAGGTCATCATTTTTTAATATAGACAGTGTTAATTTGAGGATTTGTAGCCAAACATTAAAATCTGTGACATAAATATGAAAATCACATTGCAAGCTGTGATCAAAATATCAAACATTCAAAGAACTAACACCTATCTTTCTCAAACTATTCCAAAAAATTCAAGAGGAGAGAAGACTGACTCCCAAGCTCATTTTACAAGGCAGCATTATCCTAATTCCAAAACCAGATAAAGACACTACAGAGAAAGAAAATTATAGGCCAATATCCCTGATGAACACAGATACTAAAATCATCAATAAAATATTAGCAAATCAGATCCAGCAATACATTAAAAAGATCATACACCATGATCAAGTGCGATTTATTCCAGGGATGCAAGGCTGGTACAATATTGGCAAATCAGTAGATGTGACACATCACACAAACAGAATTAAGGACAAAAACCACGTGATCGTATCAACAGATGGAGAAAAAGCATTTGATAAAATTCAGCACCCACTTATGATTAAAAACTCTCAGCAAAATGGGAATAGAGGGAACATACCTCAATATAATAAAGGCCACATATGACAAACCTACGGCCAACATCATACTCAATAGTCAGAAACTAAAAGTGTTTCCCTTAAAATCAGGAACAAGACAGGGATGTCCACTCTCACCACTCTTATTCAACACAATCCTGGAAGTCCTAGCCACAGCCATCAGGCAAGAAGAAGAAATAAAAGGCATCCAGTTGAAAACTAAAAAGGAAAAATATTATTTGTAGAAGGCATGGTACTATATAGAGAGATTCCACCAAAGATTCCACCAAAGAACTACCAGAACTGATAAACGAACTCAATAAAGTAGCAGGATACAAAATATCCAGAAATCAGTTGCATTTTTATACACCAATAATAAACTATCAGAAAGTCAGAAAGGGAAACTAAGAAAACAGTCCCATTTACAGTCACATAAAAAACAACGACTAGGAATAAATTTAACCAAGGATGTAAAACTCCGGTACTTAGAAAATTGTAAGATACCAAAGAAACTGAAGAAGATACAAATAAGTGGAAGCGTGTACCATGTTCGTGGACAGGAGGATTAGTATCATTAAAATGTCCATACTGCCCAAAGCAGTGTGTAGATTCAACACAATTCCTATCAAGATACCAATGGCATATTTCATAGAACTAGAACAAATACTCCAAAAATCCATGTGGAACCACAAAGACCCTGAATAATCAGAACAGCATGGCACTGGCATAAAAACAGACACATAGATCAGAGGAACAGAATAGAAAGCCCAGAAAGAAACCCTCCTTCATGGTCAATATTTGACAGAAGAGCAGGAACATACAACAGGGCAAAGATAGTCTATTCAATAAATGGTTTTGGGAAAATTGGACAGATACATGCAAAAAAATGAAACTAGACCACCTTCTTACGCCATACTCAAGAGTAGACTCAAAATGGATTAAAGACTTAAATGTTAGACTAGAAACCATAAAAATCCTAGAAGAAAACATAGGCAGTAAAGTCTCAAACATTTCTCCTAGTGATATTTTTTCTGATATATTTCCTCGGGCAAGGGAAACAAAAAATAAATGGGACTACAGCAAACTAAAAAGTTTTTGCACTTATGCAACTCAACACCAATAAAACAATCCAATTAAAAAATGGGTGAAGGACCTGAATAGGTACTTCTCCAAAAAGGACAGACAGATGGCCAGTGGACATATGAAAAGATGCTCAACATTACTGACCATCAGAGAGATGCAAATTAAACCCACAATGAAATATTACCCCACACCTGTCAGAATGGCTCTCATCAACAAATCAACAAGTGCTGGCGACGGTGTGGAGAAAAGGGAACCCTCATGCACTCTTGGTGGGAATGCAGATTGGTGCAGCCACTGTGGAATGCTATATGGAGTTAACTCAGAAAATTAAAAACAGAACTGCCTTATGACCCAGCCACCCCACTTCTGGAGATATATCCAAAGAAACCCAAAACACTAATTGGAAAGAATATATGCACCCCTATGTTCATAACATTATTTACAATAGCAAAGATTTGGAAGTAGCCCAAATGCCCATCAGTAGATGAGTGGATAAAAAAGCTGTGGGACATTTACACCATGGACTATTACTCAGCCGTAAAAAAGGAAATCTTACCCTTTGTAACAGCATGGATGGACCTGGAGGGTGTTTATGCTGAGTGAAATAAACCAGTTAGAGGAAAACAAGTACCATATGATTGCACTTATGTGTAAAATCTGAACAAAATACAAACAGACTCATAGATACAGAGAACCGACCGACAGCTGTCAGAGGGGGGAGGGGTTGGGGGGCTGGCTGAAAAGGGTAAAGGTATTAAGCAAAAAATATATAAATATATTTGTAAATGTGTGTAAGACACACCCCTTATCTATTTAAATGCATGTTGGCGTAGTCTTTTTTAAAAAAAACAACCATTGGATAACAATTGCATCTCTTCCACATTCTTGAAGAACATTAAATATATTTTAAGGCCATAAATTTTGTTTGGGGGTTGAGTATATGCCTTGTGATAACCATTTTAAGTGAGTTTCATGTTACTGAGACGCCCTCACTTTCCCAGATTTGCTTGCTGAGAATGGTCGCTTGACCAGTACCCCCAGCGTCATTTCTGCCTTTTCCACCATGATGAGCGTCCACCGTGGAGAAGTCCCGTGCACAGTGACCACTGCATCTGTAAGTGAGGGGCTGTGGCTGCTGCATTCGCCTTGGCATCCCATGTGTCACATTTTGCAGAACAAAAAAGAAAAAACAGGCTAAAATCAAGAAATTGGGAAAGGTGACTTGTCACATGGGAGGTTTGCTTTTTTCTCCCAGCTTCTGTGAGCCTGCGCTTTGGTTAGTGCCTTTCTAGCCAATGATTATTCATATGGACTGTAGGCTGGGTTAAGAGGTGTTGGGAAGTAGTGGTTTGTGCTCCAATGTAGGTTAGTTTACTGAAACTAGAGTTCCCAATATTTGGGGTGTAAGTGGGAGAGTGTGGTGCAGACAGGCCCTGGATCTTCCTGACCTGTGGACTGGGCTGTAGTAATAGCCACCAAGTCCTGAGACCCACCATGTGCTGGGTCCTCTTATAATTTATTATTTAATGTCAAAGGTCCATGCACAGTACAAGTATAATCATCTCTATTTTACAGGTGAGGAAATAAGCCCTGGGAAATTAAGTTGTTCTATCACAAACAATAGAGCGTGGTAGGTTTACTCAGTGTCTGCAGCACCTGACTTCATGAGTGACCATTTCCAGTGTCTAAATGACGCTCTATCTACGTCTCCCACAGACAGTTTCAGGGACATCTTATTAAATGATTTTAGAGAGAGAAACCTGGATTTGTTCCACTGATTGATGCATTCAATGGTTGATTCTTGTACGTGTCCTGACCCAGGATGGACCCCCCAACATTAGCACTTCAGGGCGATGCTCTAACCTGGCCAGGGCCAGTTGCAGGGACATTTGAGTACACGCCCTACTGAGAGTCATCACAGCTCGACGGCCACGCTGACCCCATGCCCAGGCACCAGTGCAAGTCACTCTACAGTGATTAGTTTCCACTGTTTCAAAAAAACATGTACCTTGATTAGTGACTAAGGGCATAGACTTTAGAAATGGACTGATTTCAAACACTGGTGCCAGTTCTCACTTTCTGGTGGGCTTGGATGGGCTTCTTAACTACTCTGAGCCTCAGTTCTCGCACACATAAAGTGGGAGTAACAGCTGCTGGCCTCCAGGGTCATCCAGATTGAAGGACGTGGTGGCACAGAAAGTGCCTCGCCCTCAGCACCCGTCCAAATGGAAGGTGGGCTTATAGGGCCCTTGACCTCAGGGTCTCAGCAGGTAACACTTTGAGTTAACACTGACAGATTTCACCACCACCACCAAAGATACTGATGTTTGCAAAGATGTAAAGGTGGTTTTGCTACCTTTGGACTCCTAGATGAGTGGGTAGGACTCGTGACAGGTCAAAGGCCTTTCCTTCAGCGAACTCTTCCACACTCACCTGACTGGGAGTAAGAGTCAGGCAAGAGGAGTCCAAATGTGGGGCTGCCTGCCCTGTGTGACAGATTACAGAGCTGTGCTGATGGCAGCAGTGGGCCAGCTGCCCAGGCGTCCTCAGTGGTGCGTCTCGGAGTGGAGAGGGACACCAGAGTGCATGGTGATCGTGGGTCTTAAAGATCAAAGATCCAGGTTACACTGCAGCTCATCATCCAAGGAAACAATGGACTCTAGCCATGGCAGGGTTGTCTCCCCTCAGTCATTTCTCGGTTGCACCGCTAGTACCATGGGCAGCAATGAACCCCATGGAGCTCCCCAGGTGTCCTGGGAGGCAGGGCCCTCCCACACTCCCTCAGCACCAGCACTGATGAGTCTAGACGGGTCCCCAACAGCGACAGCCATTCCCAAGGCCTGTCTTGGTGATGTGTGCGAGGTAATTTTCCTTTACGCTGGGAAGTTTCTGTTGTGCTTTACTGAAATTTAAAAGACGATTTCGTCCTTTCCAGCCTTTGGATGAAGCCACTCTTTCTGAATTAAAAACGGTCCTGAACAGCTTCCTGAGTAAAAACCAAGTCTTGAAACTGGAAGTTAAGGTAGGTTTTTAATTATGTGATCTGTTTCCTCAGGTTAATTTGACACTTAAGATGGTGAGAAATTAGATCTTGCTATATATACTAATTTGCCTATAATGGAAATTTTATATTTTCAGCTTAAATGATTACTAATCCCACTCACAATTTCACTCCTGCCAGTTTTCTGGTTACAATCATGTCGCAGGTTTATGGAGCACATAGACTTTCCAGAGCACTTTTCCTCGTTCCGTTTGGTTAGTGGAACGTCTGTGTTTTTTCACATTTCCAACTTGTGTTCTGTCCTAGACTGACCCGTCCATCATGGGAGGGATGATTGTCCGTATTGGAGAGAAATACGTCGATATGTCTGCAAAAACCAAGATCCAGAAGCTGAGCAAGGCTATGCGAGAGGTTTTCTAAGTGTGGATTTTTCTGTCAGTGAAAATCCTTATACTTGGAGCAGCAATAAAGTGCTTCCTGAACAGAACATACTGTGTTTATATTTTTAAAGTGGAAATACAGGAGCCTTATTTTTATACCTTTCTTTCAGTACCTCCCCAGTTTAAAGGTTAAGGGCCCTTTGGCTGGAGAATCTAGTTTGTGTAGATTCTTATGAATTTATGGAAGCTCGTGTCCATTAGGGAAAATAGTTCACCTCTGTTGAAACCCATTTTGTGCCAGATACTATTAAGGGCATAATGTATCACCTCGGTTCCCTGGCCTCTGCACCCAGAGCCTGGGGCAGTGCTGAGCCTGCAAGGGTTTAAGGCACCAGGGAACCAGGCTGGCCAGCGTGGTCTTGGGAGTCTCAGCTATGGGTGCCCATCTCTGGTCAAAGATCCTGGAAGTGGCTCTGTGGACCCAGAATGTGCTGGCCAGGCATGGCAGCTGCCCCCCACTCTCTGCGGCTTCGTGCTTCCTGCCGCCTCTCCAATGCTGGATCCACCCCATCCCTGTGCCCTGTGGTCCGTGTTGGCCATGGGGTTGGGTCTGAAGCACTGCAAACGGCTGGTTGGTGCTCATCCGGTTTTTCTTTTTTTTTTTTTTTTTTTT